AACTGGTAGCCAACTATCCCTTCAAGGTGATGCCCCCAGTGACCAGGAGACTACCCACCAGCACTCCCTAGTTGACATGAAGCTGGGGATAATACATGAACCCTGACATTTCAGACCCAAGCTATAGCAAATACCCTCCCATTTAATCTATGGTTATGTTGTTTTGATGCTTTCAGCCAGGTAAGGTGCCAGGTGCTAACAAACAAACCCCAGAACTTATAAATCCCATCTTTTTAAAAATAAATCCTATCTTTAGAGAGTCTGCCTCATGGTTTGAGAAGTCCTTCAAAGTTAAATCTAAATCTGTGTGGAAAGAGATTTTAGGAAGTATCAGTGAGTATGGAGAAGAAAGCTTTTTTCTCTGCTTCTGAAAGAAAGCCAGGAAGACTTTGTAGAGGAAGCAGTGCTCCAACTTAGTCTTGGAGGACTAAGAGAGCAAAGAGGTCCCAAGAAGAACATCAGGTGCCCAGGCAGAGCCTTGAAGGCCTAAGACATATTGAGGAGGTGCAATAGACGAGTGTGTGTGGCTTGCGAAGGCCAGAGTACAGGAGGGCTGGACTTCCTGGTACCAGTCTTGTTCCAGTGTGGTGCAGAAGGGCTGGCTGGCTGGGCACAGTCTGCCGAGAAGCAGAGATGCCAGTTATGAAGCCATGCTGCTTCGCAGGGTGTGGCAAGAAAGAAACGGACTTCTTCAACATGGCAAACTGAACAGGGAGCTCACTATCACTCACTCTGAAGCTTTCCAAAACAACAGTCAAGAGATAGCTAATGCTATGAATTCACAAGGGTAAAGAGAATGGAGGGGAGGTGACAGCAATTAATTGAGATAGAAAGTAAAATAGATGACAACTGAATTGCCTTAGAAATGCGCAGAGATTGGGGACACCTTCCAAAAATAGGGCTGTATGGAACTGGAAAGAAAAATGTTGGCTGATGTCTCATCCATTTGGGAAACTGTAAAAGAATACCTGAGACTGGGTAACTTATTAAAAGCAGGCTTATTTCTCATCCTTCTGGAGGCTGGAAGTCCAAAGTCAGAGTATCAACGGATGAGATTGCAGCTGTCTGCTTCCAAGGTGGCACCTTGTTGCTATGTCCCACAGAGGGCGCAATTGGGCTCTAAAGTGGCAGCAGGTGGGAAGGCAAGTGGATTGAAAGCTGTGTGAAGCCCTCATGACCAGGTCACCTCCTGATGACACCACTCCCTAATAGTACACATCAGCTAGTGAGTTTTAAGATGTACATTTTATAAGTAAGAATAAGAAACTCTCAAAATCTTTTCAGGAAATAAAAATGACTCTGGAGGAAAACACAACAGAAAAAAAATCAATGAAAGGATTGGGAGTCAAGAAGAGGTAATCTCTCCTAAATAGCAAGAAAATAGAGATGAAGTATAGGAGAGAAAGGAAGCTTAGTCCAGGTGGATAATATCACAAGTAATAATTGTTCACAAAAAGAAATTTTTTGGGGGCAGACCATCAATAAAATAATTCAAGAATATTCTCCAGAACTGAAGAGCATGAACTTCTATATTGAGAGAGCTCACTAAGTATGTTACATAATACATAGAAAATATTTATTCTATGGAAACTTTACAACTCTAAAGACAAAAAGAAGCTCCTAAAATCTCTTATAGAAAAAAACAAATACAAAGAACAGAAATAAAGATGCAGTTGACTTCTAACAATTTGGGAAGCAGATAGTGCCTCCCAAATTAGAATTTCACTCTAATTCTAAGGTGAAATGACCTTCAGTGTCTTCTATACCCAGCTGAACTATCATCAAGTTTTAATCTGTCTACAATATAGTCATTGTAGACAGATTAAATCTTGGAATTTTTACTTATTATGTGGTCTTCCTTATTGTTCCTGGAGAATGTAGGCCTCAAAAGTGGGGAAAAACATAAAACAGAAAGCTATAGCAACTAAAAATTAGAAGACTTGGAGCAAGAAAGTGGTAGAAGGACTCCCCAGGATGACAGAAAAAGGATTTCCCAAGTCAGCAGTTGTTAAACAGATTTAGACAGAACTCTGTTCGTAGAGGAACAAGAGATGAGGACAGAAATGATATTCTGACTGAAAATTAAGGAGTCCATGAATAATTAGACATGTAGAATGCTAAATAAGGGGTGAAATCCTCACAATTTACTGATTTAAAGAGTGTCAATTCTAGAAAAAAATTCCAACAACAAAGGACATCTAGCCATAGTGCACTGCATGATCCAGTTGTGAATACTCACATAACCATATCACACACTCCATATATATACTAAACAAATAGAATGATGCATGTTGGCAGAGTAAGAATATTTTCAAAAAGTCAAAGCTTCATTTCTATCACAAAATTGAAAGTAAAACAGGAAAAGGTAGTGGTAGCATTCTAACCATGGGTCTGGAACAATGAAAGTGAAAACCAAAAATCAGTGCTGGCAAGGTCACATGAGCCTTTGGCTTACTTGGATTTTTAAATTATGTGTCAATGTAACTTTAATAACAAATTTACTTTTTTTTTTCTTTTGGTGGAACCAGGTATTGAACATAGACCCTTGTGCTTGCCAGGCAAGTGCTTATTCTACTGAGCCATCTCCCTGGCCACATATTTTTCTTTTCTTTTCTTTTTTAAACAAATTTAAATATATGAGAACTGCCCTCCTGCCTTGCCATCAAGTTCTGCTGAGTGATCTCTCTAACTTGTCAAGAACAACTGACCAAAGAGATGGGGGTCAGGGAGGGAGAGATAAAGGTGCTTGGTAGCTGAATCTGGTTCCCAGTGGCCCAGAAAGAAAGGGAAGGGAAGGGAAGGGAAGGGAAGGGAAGGGAAGGGAAGGGAAGGGAGAATTGGAAGAGCCACCTGGTAGCTGGTGGGCACACTGGGTGTTAGTACTGGGTGATGGAAGCTACCAGGAGGGGCAAGGGAATCCAGGTCCCCCCTCTCAAACTCCATCCACTTTTTGTGCCTCCTGCCCATCCCTCATCCAGTATATGACTGCATGGTATTTGCATGGCTGGTGACTCTGCCCTCATGTGAGCAGAGGCAGTCTCTGACTGCCTTTGTCACTGCTGCTACAGCACCAGGCAACTTCAGGCATGCAAGAGGCACTCAGGTCTCTCATGAGGGATTGAATGCTGACTTATTGTCCTCACCACTCCTGTGGCTGTGCTCCAAGCCACCGGTGAACTCAGCCTCTCTTTGTACTGCTGGTGCAGAGATAGAGGAGACAGAGTGGGTGGCTTTGGGGGTCCTTCCTTTCCGTCCTAGCCAGGCATGGCTGAAGTGAGTTGTGGGACTGGGCTGGAGCTCAGTGGTGAGGGCAGACCTGTCATGTATGAGACCCCAGGTTCTACCTCAAGCACCACCAGATAAATAAACAAGAACAAAGTGAACTGTGGCTATGCACCTTGTCTTTCAGACAATTAGGTGCCTTCCTAGAGATGGGCCTCTGTGTCACCTTTATGCATCATTCTCAGCTGCAGGGAACAGCTGTCAGATCCCAGAACGTGCTGTGTAAACCCAAGCATAGTCCCAGGAGGGAGCTGTCCTTCAAGGTGGGGCCTCAGCAGCTGCCCTCTGACAATCTTACACAACTGAAATGCCAAGATCCCATCACCCTGATGCTAACCCAAAGTTTCTTGTTACAGGCTAGGGCTACTCCCTGCCAATCTCCATCAGCCCCCCAAACTGCCCCAAATAATCATGGAATCTAAAACAAGAACATAGTGCATGGAAGAGATGGGGAACAAAGGCCTGGCCCCTTTGACTCCTTTCACTGTTAACCTGCATTTGATAGGAGCTTAACTATCTCTGTGATTTTTTAAAAAATCTTTGTATCATTCAACCAGCTCTTTCCCCTTGAAGGTCAGCAGAACCTCTGCTAAGACACCTGCTTGCTCCTGGATCACAATCCTTTCTTAGATTATGGATCTAGTTTAAGTGAATTGATCCCAGACCATGATTCAGGGACAGACCTGTGTTCCGTAGCCTTCCCTCAGAGGTCTCTTGCTGGGGGATGAAGCGTTGTGGCATGGGGCAGAAACCACAGAAGAGTCCAAGACTCCCTGCTCTTTCCCCAACCCCCAGGCCATAACGGGGATGGCTATTGATAACCACCTGCTGGGACTTCGGGAGCTGGCCCAGGACCTGTGCACAGAGCCACCTGAGATGTTCACAGATGAGACGTACCTGACCAGCAACCGGTTTGTCCTCTCTACCAGCCAGGTAAGACTCCTGCCTATTCAGCTGCCACTGTCAACATCACTGAAAGGCTGTGTGACCAGTGTGCTCTCTAAAAAGCTTTTGGGAGGGCCAGGGAGATAACTCAGTGGAATAGCACCTGCCTGACAAGCTCAGGGTCCTGAGTTCAATCCCCAGTACCACAACAGAGAGACAGAGAGAGAGAGAGAGAGAGAGAGAGAGAGAGAGAGAGAGAGAGAGCTCTTGGAGGTTGGGAAACTCCAGCTGGCATCACTAAGCCTGGACTCCGTCTGCTTCTGCCTCTTCTGTTTCAACTATACATATTTTATTTTTAACTGACACAGAGTAATTATACATATTTCTGGGATACAGTGTGATATTGCAGTTTGTAGGCACTATGCATAATGGTCACATTAGGGTAACTGGCGCTGGCGCATCTCTCACATTTATCATTTCTTTGCATTAGGAAACACAGCCATTTTTAAATAGTTAATTGTTGACAACTATAGCCATCTGTGTGTGCCAGAGAACCTTAGAAGTGAGCCTCCTCCCTGAGTACACCCTATACCTGCCATCACCTTCCCCATCTATCTCCCCACCCCTGACTGGCCCTGCCCCTCAGGAATTGGGCCACTTAGGGCAAAATGGCCTGAAGTTCAGAGCCCGGTTCTCCTCTTTTGATGTGAGTCATCAAGGGCTCCGCCTTAGTCAGTGAGGCAGAACAGGCAGAGCTGTCGTGGTGCTCCAACCATGAGGCATCACTGCCTGTCCACTCCTCACTCAAGAGTGCTGTTTCACTGTGGGGATCCCAAGTTTGGAAGCCCTTGTGCCTGGGTGTACCCCACCTCAGGTGACAGGCATTATCCCATGGCGGAAGACTGCCTGCCTACCTAGCCACATAGTGCCCAGTCTACTGGAGGATGCCATATCAAAGACAGGATGAAAGCCACCAGTGGGGGGCTGCATGGGAGGGTGGAAGTGCCCCAGGCCCACCCAGTTACTAAGGCTATACCTCACCTGGGGACAGTAGACAGGGCAATCAAAGGGCTGACGAAGCTGTGTTGGTGGGGAAGAGCCCACTTGGTGATTTCGTTTTACCATTACAGTGGCGAGCTTGCAGTCATGAACACGTGAAGTCAGAACACAGCAACGTAAATTCTTCAGGAAATCATCCATGGACAAAAAGTGCTCTGGAATGGCTTTCTGGCCGGCAGCTATTGCACAGCAAATTTATCTGACAATGTGGTGGCTCTGTTAGCAAGACTAATGGTTTATTCTGCCCCATTCAAATAGCCAGTGTCACTTCCAGAGGCTAACACAGTACCAGAAACCTGTGTGCTTAAACAAGTCTGTTCTAGTACCCCCCTAAGAACCTTTCCTATTTTCCCCCTAGGAACAGCTAATAAAATTAATTTGGGGTGTAGACTTTTGGTGGTTATTTTCAAGCTGGAAAGTAGCACTTGTGGCTTGAATGCCTTCCGACACACTTGCTTGGTTTGTGATCCAGCTTGTAAAATCCCAGTTCTCTGAATTCAAAGTGTCTTAGGCGCAGAACTGAAACTCCAGTTGATGGCAACCTTTGAAATGCCTGGTGCTGGGTAATTGTGCGTAGCCCGGGCAGCGGGGAGAAAATCTAAGCAGCCAGGCAATTCTGACAGTAATTAAAGATCTGGGGGAAATCAACAGAGAAGCTGGGCCAGATTTCCTCCAGTTCATAAACTAGTCCCTGTGGGGAGCCATGTACCGCTTGGGTGCCACCGGGGTGCCTTTTAGTAAATTACCCTGATTGCCACAGTGCCTCAAATGGCCCCCAGGTGACGGAGAAACTCAGCTCCAGCCCCAGCTCACTTGGGAGACTCCAAGCTATAGCACAGCATGTTGTGCCCCGGGGAGTGGGCTCCGGGTCCCTCTCCCTCCACAGTCACACAGTGGGATGGGTTTGATTTTACAGTGCTGGCTGTGTCCACCCATGCCGAAGTAATCAGTTGATTTGTGTAATTCAGTCAAATCCCCAGGGTGAAAATTAATCAGCGAAGCCCATCCCAGCAGAGGCCCACAGTGTTGGGATGGCCCCTGGCCCCCGTTCTCCCAGGCGCTGAGGCTGCAGTGTGTTGCTGCTGCTACCACTGTTGCTGCTGCTACTGACCTGTGTTCTCCTCCAGGTGCCCACAACCATGGAGATGTTCTGCTGCTATGGCCCTGTGGTCCCCAATGGCTATGGTGCCTGCTATAACCCCCAGCCTGAGACCATCCTCTTCTGCATCTCCAGCTTCCACAGCTGCAAGGAGACCTCGTCCATGGGGTTTGCAGAAGCTGTGGGCTCAAGCCTCTCTGACCTGAGAGCCCTGTGCAGCCTGCCGCAGCCCACTGACAGCAAGCCACTGGCAACAGAGGGCAAAACCAAGGGGCCCAGCCAGGGCTACCAGCCTTGACTTCAGCTCCAAGTCCAGCCCTCTGCACCTGCCAGACCCTGCCTCACCCTTGTTTGCATCACTCTCCCCATCCCCACTTTCTGCACAGCCCTGGTCCACGGGCCCTGGTTATCACCTAAGCTAGAGTGTTGGGAGGTAAAGGGCACCTTGTAGGATGGCCTGTGCCATGGGAATGAGGCCATCCTGGTTCCCAGGAGGTGAGGTGCCCAGCAACTCCCTGTATGCCCCTCCAGAGCTTAATGCTCATGTTCCTTCCCCTGCAGGATCTAGCGTGTCTGGAGATGTTTCTGCCCAGCAAAACAATGAATCACTCTATTATGCACCATGCACATAAATGAATCACAGAGGCAGAGGCTAGCTCAGGGCCATTACCCCCTTTCTTTCTGAGAGGAGCTGGGGGGAAGCTTTGTGTTTAGGTTCAAAGCATCTGATGGTGGCATTCAGGGTCTCCACTGAGCCATACAGTGCTGCTGACATCCACTGTGTGCACACACAGCCCAAGTCCATTTGCAACATGGCAATCTGCACTTTAGGCATGTTTCTCCCTCAGAAGGGCAGCCTTCTGTTGAGGTCAGGAAATCTCGCCCACCTTCTGGGAAAGCAAAGCACTATGGGCATCCATGTTGGAGTCCTTGGGGCTCTCTGCCTTTTGTGTAGCATTGGGAAGAGTTGGAACAGTCAACCAACATCCTGGAGCAGGCAGGGTCCTGCCACTTGCATGTTTTCCACATCCTCCATCTGTCTCCCAGGACACAGTCTGTGAAATGCGGCCTGCCCCCATGGGTAGAGACCAGGCAGGGGCTGTGATGTTTTTTCTTGTTGTTTATAATTTTTGTTTGTTTTCAAAAGGGAGGTTTTAAAGAAAACCACTCCAACGATGATTTCAGAAAGTAATCTCAGCGGTTACTACGTGTGGCTAGTGTGGCATCGGGAAAAGACCTCAGGGATGCTGGCCAAAACTCACACACAGGGCTCTCTGCTGGCCTCAGAGACTGAGATCCCCATCTGGCCAGGGCAGGACAGAGCAGCCGGTCATCCTGGCTTGGGGGAGGTAGAGGTGAGCAACTCCATATGGCAGCACATTCTTTTTTATTTAAATTGTTTAAGATTTACTCCTTTACTTCGCTGTTGTTTTTTAGTATTAGGGATTGAACCTAGGGCCTTCACACAGAGCTATATCCCCATCCTTTATTTATTTATGTATTTATTTATTTATTTATCTTGAGAGAGGGTCTTACTAAGTAGATAAGGCTGGGCTCAAACCTGTGGGATCCTCCTTTCTTGGCTTCATAGAGTGCAAGGATTACAGGGCTGAGCCCACACCACACCCAGCTAGGCTTTATTTTAATTTACAGGTACTAACAGTACACACTTGTGGGGTACAGTGTGATACTTCAGTGTGTACACATTGCTAAAGTCAGGGTTATGAGCAGAACCAGCACCTCACACATTCATCCCATCTTCATGGTGAGGACATTTAAGTCCCCTCTCTAACTGTCTTGAAATGCACAGTCCATGTCCCCATCTCTGGTCACCTCCTATGTGACAGACCCCACAGGCCAATCCTATCGAACTGCGGCACTGGACCCGCTGGCCAGCGTCTCCCCACCACACTTTCTCTAGCCTGGAATCACTGCTACTCTAGCGACAGCTTCTGGAGGATTAGCTTTCGGAGGCAAAGCAGCCCCCCAAAATGGGAAGTGCAGAAAATGGACAACAAGCAAAGCCTGCTCCTCCCCATACCTCCTTGCCCCTTTAGGGGGTTCTGCAGAACCCCTTCCCCCACTGTACTGGCCCTGTGTCATTCTCAATGCCCCACTCTGGCTCAGGAGCCCTGTAAGTGTCCCTTCGAGCCCAGCTTGGTGGGCACGGACTTGTGCTGAGCTGCCAAGGCCACATGAAGCTGGAAGCCATGACCTGGGCCCAGATCAGGTGGAGGATGCCAGGGAATGAGGTAGGCATCCTGGGCACTGCCTTCTCACATGCAGACTTAGGTCATTGGTCTGCAGGTCCCTGCTCCTCTGCTGACATCCACCCCCAGCCCTTCGATCCACTGCTGAAAGTTGACACAGAGCCTGAGCAGCCTGAATCCTTACCAGTTTCTCCCCGTTGTGTTTCTCGCTGGCAGAGAGCTCAGCTCTGGGCTCAGGCAGCCCCACCAAGCTAGGCCAGGTGATTCAAGAGTCCAGAAGCAGGTTCCTGTGTTGTCACATGAGGACAACCCATGGGGGCTGGAACCATGGGTGCAAAGGACTTTCCCTGGCAGGGAACTGGTGTCTGACCTGAGATGCCACCCTCAGCAAGTGCTGTTCTAGTGTTTTGTTTAAAATTCTGCCCGGATGCACAGGGGCAAGTGCACACCTGCCGTCCGAGAGCATAGGAACTGGAAATCATGCCCTGCCCAGACATCAGACTGTGCACCATGGAGACTGCACCCCCTTGCTCTGAGGAAGGGCCAGAAGCTGGTCTTCCCCTTCTAATGATGATGGTGGGTGCGCAGCATCTTTATGAAAGGCAACACTGAGCCATGGCCAGGCATATCTACAGGGACCACGAGAAACAAGTCTGGGTCCCCAAAAGGATGGGGAATGAGAGAGTCCTTTGGAAGAGCAATGCCTAATAAATACGGCCACCTTACACTACTGCTAAGTTGCCAAAATATACAGTTAAGATTTGAGTTCTATTTTTATAAGATAGTTATAGATTTATGGCAATATGTACACGTGTATTTATAGCCTTCCCATTTTAATTTATAGTTTTGTGCTTTAAAGAAATATATGTATAATGAAAGAGCCGAATATTGAAAGCACTCTATTCAAATTATTTAAAGACTCTTACTCTGCATTCAATAAAACATAATGCCAAGAAAGATGACATTGGCCACTGTTTCTCTCTTCTACTGGATGACAACATTGTAAGTTCTGGGAACAGGATCAGTAACTCTTTGGCCTTTGTATGGGCTGGGCCAACAGCAGTGATGGAGTATAAATGACTCTGGGATGCTGGGTATGGTGGCTTGTGCCTGTAGTCCCAGCCACTCAGGAAGGAGAGGCAGGAAGTACATTTGAGCCCAGGAGTCCCCCATCAGCCTGGGCAATACAGTGAGACCCCATCTCTGTAAATAAAAGAGAGCAGGGGGAGCTGAATCTCTCCATGGTAGGGTAGGCTGAGGCGGGGCTGAGGGCAGCATGCCTCCTACAATGTTTGTAATCAAATTGCCCAATGTAGGTGGCAAGGTGGGTGCCCCCCACTTAGCCCACAGGGACAGTGAGGAGCAGGTAGTAATGTCTGAAGTACCAGGCACACCTCCTGCAGGTCTACCTTGCTGTGACCTCTGGGGACCTTACCTAGTCTCTACCAACCTCAGCATCCTCACTATCAGCACAGATTGGACCAATCCTTCCAAAACCAAACCAAGAGCTTTGTAATGAGCACCCCAGAAGGTGTGCAAGAAGGGATGTGAGAGAGGTATGACTGGGAGAGCTAATGGCTCAGGGTATCCCAGGAGGGCAGAGGGAAAGGGTGGGACAGGAACACAGTAATGTGGATTCACTCTTATTTGTCACATGTACGATAGGTGGCCCCCAAAATCACTGGGGGGGGAACCCCTGGGTTTCCTTCATAAATCTCACCCATTTCCTCCTATTGTGTTTCTCTGAGTTTTCCTTTCAAAAAAAAGCAGCTTGAGTTTGAGGGCAAACACTGTGACATCCCTGGAGGAACTGTTCCTACCCCTGGGCAGACCTTCCCCTACCCCCTTCCTCTGTTCTTTTTTTTTTTTTTTTTTTTTTTTTTGCCTTGTGCAGCCACACTTCCCCCAAGGATCCCTTCTGATCATGCACCTCATTGTCAATGGCCCAGGATTCTCTCTGTCTTTCTTTCTTTCTTTCTTTCTTTCTTTTTTTTCTTTCTTTTTCTTTTTCTTTTTTTTTTTTGAAATGGGGATTGAACTCAGGCCCTTGCACTTGCCAGGCAAGCATTTATTCTACTGAGCTATCCCCCACCCCCGCAGGATTCTTTCTGTCCATGGTCTTGATTTCGAATTCTAAGGCTCAGCCAGTAATAAGCCAGGCTGAGTTAAGCCCAAAGAGCCCCTTCCCACTACAAAAACACCAGGGCGGGGGGTGCAGCCCCAAGGCACAGTGCTTGCCAGCCATGCCTGAAGCCCTCGGTTCTGTCCCCAGCACCAAGACCAAGCAGACAAAGCAAAAAGCTACTTACAGAAGTTCTTTTAAATGTATATTAGGACTAAAAAAGAAAGGAAAAAAATCTTCACATTATATTAAATAAAGGCTTCCCAAATGATAGCAGAAAGCAGGAGCTGAAGTTTGGTCTTTGACCAGGCACTGAACTGGGGATGGACAGGCTCCCCATGGCTGCACCCCACAAGCCAGGCACTCCCAGAGATGTCCTAAGACATGTGCCATATGCAGATGAGAGGTTTGCATTTACACAACTTCCTACTAAAGCAGGAACTCCAAGCTAGCAATGTTTTAAAAGCCAAATTGGGCTAGGTCTCCAATACCTAAAGGATCCCAGCAGTTTCAGATGTGCCCAACCCAAGAAACGCCCCCAGGGGAACATTCCACTGTGGACAGACCCTGTCATAAAGCATAAATCTCCCAAGTAGAGCAGGAGAGAATTAACATCCAAAGGCTGACATAATCTATGAATCAGCAGAACTACGAAGTATTTATGTTCATTCTTATGGAAGGAATTGTTAGAGAGGTCGGAGGAAGATAACATACAGAGTGCCAGTGCATATGCAGGAGTTTGAGAGATTAGGGAAGACACTAGTCAAAGACAAAGGGGCTTAAAATAGTCTAGAATTGAAGAAACACATAATTCTCAAACTAATGGGTAAAAGAAGAGATTAAAATGGAAATTTTAAATAGCTTAGAGAAGAAAGGTACAGATCCCTTATTTATTCAAAATCTCTGAAACACACCAAAAGTGACTGAGAGAAATTTATAACTTTAAATATACTAGGAAAAAAGAAAGAGGAAATATTGATGTTCTAAGTGTGAAGTTAAAAGTAAGAAAAAGAAGCAAACAATAAACTCAAAGAAAGTAGAAGGAAAAGACTAAAGATTAGAAATAGTTTTTGACAAAAGAAAAAGCAACATGACAAAAAAGAAACTAAACAAAGCAATAACTGGTTGAAAAGACTAACAAAAGAGTCAAGCTTGATAAAATCCAGGAAGAAAACATCAGAAATGAAAAATATTAAGAACAAATAGATAAAAGGACTTAAAAAAAGCTGCCATCAAAAAGATAAGGAAATATTTTTATTACTTTCTACCAACAAACATAAAGGCAAATAAAAATATTTTTAGAGAAACATAACTTTACAAAGATGAATGCAAGAAGAAATAAAATCTCTGGGTAGTCTTAGAAATCCTAAGTAAGGGGCCAGGGAGGTAGCTCAGTAGAATAAGCGCTTGCCTAGCAAGCGCAAGGTCCTGAGTTCAATCCCCAGTTCTGAAAAAAAAAAAAAAAAAAAAAAAATCCTAAGTAAACCAAAGCAGTAATATTAGCAGTAGGAAGTAATCCCCTCCAGGGGTTAAAAAGAAAAGATAGGAGAGACAAAATTTCATATACCAGTTCTACCCAACCTTTGAAGAAGGGATCATTACAAGTATAGTTGTATCCAAAATCAATAAGAGGTCACTCTTCCTGGTTCTATATTCCCTTATTGATTCTCTGAGGATAAAATAGCTTTATTACTAAAACCAGACAAGAACATACTACCAACAATAAATATGAGCCCATTTCACATATATATATATATATATATATATATATATATATACACATCTATATATATGCAGAAATCCCACATAAAATATAAGCGAAAAAATTGTTAGAAGATCAACACATCAGTGCCCACCAACTTAGGTAGTTTAATATCAGAAGATAGCTAAGTGTCATTTACTCATTAGTAACTTACAGAAAACAATACAGGATCATTCTAATCACTAAAATCAATCCACAATAAAATTCACAATTATAACTTAATGTTAAAAACTCATGGTAAAATAAAATTAGCAAAAAAGATTATTTAGCCTGACAAAGAACACCTACTAAAAAATCTGTGCCCTACAGCCATTTTTTCCTGGGGTGTGGGGATCCTGGGGAGTAAGCCTAGTGTTCCCGAATGTGGATCAAGTGCTCTACCACATCTTTAGCCCAATAGCGACAGAAATTGGAAAATGCTAAAATTGTTCCTTTTCCTTTAAAATAGGGGTACAGGAAAAATGGCAATTGAAGAAAAATCACCTGTTTCTGGATAGGAAGAACCAATATAGTGAAAATTGGGGCTGGTGAGATAGCTCAGTGGACTAAAGTGCTTGCTTAGGTAAGCTTAGGCAAGCGCAGGGACTGTGGTTCGATCCCCAGCACCACATGCCATGCCAGCCCCACCCCCAGGGCATGCTGAGCTGGACAGAATCCCAGCTAATGGCATAAACCTGAAATCCCAGCACTGGGGAGGCTGAAAGCAGGAGGATCACGAGTCTGAGCTGCGTAGTGAGACTCTGTAACAACAAAATACATTTTTTAAAAAGTCAAAATTTATATAATCATAATATTTTTCATTTCTGACTATACCTCTAAAACTGACACACAGATTTAGTGCAATCCCAATCAAAATACCTACAGTGTTCCTTACAGAACTAGAGAAAGCAATTCTAAAGTTCACATGGAACTAGAAGAGATCCAGAATAGCAAAAGCAATCCCAAGCCTTAGAGCGAAGCAGGAGGCATAAACTTACATACAAATTTACAGTGACAAAAACGGTATGGTCTTGACACAAAAATAGAAATATAGACCAATGGAGCAGAATAGAGGATGCGGAAACAACCCCAGACACATACAGCTGTCTGATCTTTGATAAAGAGACCAAGGCATGCATTGTTTAACAGATGATAGTAGGAAAACTGTCCACTTGCAGAAGATTGAGACTATCCTCATATCTCTCATCATGTACTAAGCTAAAATCTATATGGATCAAAGATCTAAACATTAAAACAGAATCAACCTACTGGCAGATAAGATAGGTAAAACTCTTGAAGTCAAAGGCATAGGCAAAAACTTTCTGACTATAACTCCAATTGCACAAGAAGTAAAATCAGGAGTTGAAAACGGGAACATATCAAAAGGCTTCTTCACAGCAAAGGAAATAACTAGTAGTGAAGAGATAACCTACAGGATGGGACAAAGCTTACCAGCTATACCTGTTCAATCCCCAGTTCTGCCAAAAATAAACAAACCAGCTACACCTGAGACAGAAGACTGCCATCTAGAATATATGAAGAGCTCAAAAGTCGCATGCCCTCAAATAAAAGATCCAATTAAAATGTGAAGCTGGGGAGATAGCTCAGTGGCCTAAGTGCCTGCTTGGCAAGCTCAAGGTCTTGAGTTCAATCGCTGGTGCCAAAGGAAAAAAAAAAGTAGGCAACTGAAATGAACTCAATTCTGAGAAGAAGAAATACAAATGGCCAATAAATACATTCTTAAAAATGTTCATCTTCACTGACCATCGGAGAAATACAAATTAAAACAATACTGAGATTCTATCTTAGTCCAGAAGAAATGGGTAGCATCAAGAAACCAAATAATAACAATTGCTGGTGAGGCTGCAGCGAGAAAGTAACGCTTCTATATTTTTGGTGGGCACATAAACTTGTACAGTTACTGTAGAGGTCAAGATGGAGATTTCTCAAAAAATTAAAAGTAGAAATTCCACGCAATCCAGCTTTTTGGCCTCTAGCTATCTTCCCCAAAGAGGTAAAGATGTCATACTACATACATGCGTACCAACATGTATGTCAGCACAATTTATGATAGATAAATCTTGGAAGGACCCTACATGTTCATCAACAAACAAAACGATAAAGAAAATGTGCTATCTGTACATATGGAACACTACTTGGTTATAAGGAAGGATAAATTTGAGACACTTGCAGGAAAATGAGAATGACAAAGGAACCTACCAAACACACATAAAGCACACAGTGATCCGGGCTGGCAGAACACAGCTGTGACCCCAGCGCCCTGGAGGCTGGGGCAGCAGGGTGACAGTGAGCTTGGGGGCAGCCTGGGCTACATGGCAAGACTTTTTCTCGAAAAAAAATTTGAAAAGTAACACAGTGAGAAGATCTAATTTACACTAAGGTAAAGTTCTTGAAGTATGAAAATGGAACAGAAGTAATATTTAAAGAAGGACTGGCTCAAACTTTTCCAAAAACAGATGGAGAACCTTAATTCAGTTTCAAGAATTTCAACAAATCACAAAGAAGATAAGAGACTCACACTTTGGCAGCTTACAGTGAAACAATAGAAAACAAGAAATAAGCATGAAAACAGAACAATAACAACAGTCTTTATAAAACTTTCAGTAAAGCTGAGCAGGGTGGTGCATACTGTGACCCTAGGCATCTGGGAAGCTGAGGCAGGAGGGTTATAAATTAGAGTATAGCCAGAACAATTTAGTGGCTGAGACCCTGTCTCAAATTTAATAATAATAATAATAATAATAATAATAATAATAATAATAATAAATAATAATAATAATAATAAGGAAGATAGCCCAGGTACTGGGTTCAATCCCCAGTACTGAAAAAAAAAAAAACAACAAAATTAAATTTTTGATAAAGATACTACAGTAAGTAGACAATTTTGCCTCTTAAAAAGTGAACAAAATTTAGGGAGACCTAGACAACACATCCTTCCTAGACAGAGTATGTGACCATAGGGAACTGGTGGGAGAGTGACGTGGTACAGTGCCACATCCTCCACTGTGTGGGGAGACCAGCGTGGCACTGAGCACAGTTGCTGTTATCTGACTGTGCTGAGCAAGGTGCTCGGAGAAAGAATTTACAATCTCCAAAAAGTTAGAATTCTTCTGGCACCGTTTTTCTATTTATCAGTCATGTATAACCTAATTTTCACCAGTGAAATATATGTCACTGTAGTAACAGACGGTTCACATGGAGATAATTAAAGCACACAACGGTAGCATATGTTAGGAGAATTAGGAAAAGGGATTTTAAATCCTTGCACTATTCAAAAGGAGGGCAAAAGTATTAACTACCATTGATGTTTAGGAATTAAAAATGTGTATGGCGCTCGCAAAATGTAATTGTTTGATTTGTGCAAATGCTGTAGTAAACTAGCCCCAAGCCCCAGGGTTACAGAATAACCCTCTTGCTCCTGGGGACAGATCTTCACTCCAGGCAGTCTGTGCTGCGCAGCCACTTGCGGCCCCTCCTTCCCTTCTGATCCTCAGCGTGGGGCAAGGGTAAGGGGCAGCAAGTATGTAGGCCAGGACTGCAGGAGGCAGGTGTCCTATAGGTCCTCATTCCCAAGGGCAGAGGGAGCCTATGGCTTTATCTTTGCCAAGCAGACAACTAGTAAGAGAACAGAAACAGCTTTCTGGAAGGAGGGGAGATGCAAATGCATTGAAGCAATGTATTGCACTAATCTAAAAAACATCAGGCAGCTGGAAGACATGGAAGAGTTTCTCGTCCACATGACGCCCCGCCTTGATTGGGACAGCTCCTCCAAGGTCAGTTTTGTAAACACAAGTACAAAGAGCAACTTAGTTCGGAAGGGATGGTACAATGGGTAAATGAGAAAACTCTAGAAAGTGTTTAGGAAGTCGTCTGATACTTCCTCTCAACTAGTACGTAATTGTCTATTGTTAGCTATCATCAAAACCCGCCGGGCCTGGTTGAAAAATGTCTTAGTTTACCCGCCTGAGAGACCTCTGGCACTGGACTGGGCTGGAGGGGTGCTAGCCCCTCCCAGGCCCCGCCTACCTCCTCTCATTGGTTCAGCCCCACCTCACCCCGGCTCAGCATTGGCTCAACTCCAGCCCCACCCCACATGCGGCCACGCCCACACAGGGCCAAGCGGGTGGTTGCTTGGCAGCAGAGGCGCAGCTCGGTCTCCTAGGCTGCAGGCTGCCCCGAGCGCCATGCCGGAGAAAGCAGAGGTCATCCTTCGCTATGGACCCTACAGCGCCGTGGGCCTGGCCGTGGAGCACCGCACCTTCCGCCTGGAGGGTTTGCAAGGTGGGCCGCCCCTCTGAGTGCAGGATGTGCACACGGGCCTTCTCCCTCGACTCCCACCCGGGGGTCACCTCTCCCGGGATGTCTTCCCGTGGCTTGCACGGTTGGGAACTATGGAAGTGGTGGGCTCCCGAGTATTAAATTACCTCCTTAGAAAAAACTACCTGAGTCCACTCCCTGTGTTGGGAATCTTGGGTCAAGAAGACAAGTGACTTCCCAAGGCGGATGGCTAGAAAGTGGCCGCGCGAAGGCTCTATCCCTTTATCATTCCTGCATGGTGCAGACCTTTTTGAGCACTGCGCTTGTTGCTGAACGCTTACAAACAATCTTGTAGCCACTGAACATCAGTGTGCCAACTCCTGACATTGGATAGAAGGTACCTGGGAATCTGCTCCCAGAAGACTGGCATGATAGATGAAGGTTGGAAAGGGTCTGGAAGCGCTCATAGGGGAAACTAAGCTTGAGAGAAGATTAGAGAAGAGAAACTAAGTAGATAAAGAGAGGCGGGAACGTTCACAGGGCACTGGCATACGCTTCGAGGGTCAGCTTCCTCCTGATACAGTCGTCTCCCAGAAGCCTAGCTTCTGCAAACTGCTGCTCTGGGGACCAAGCTTTCAAGGCATGAGCATTTGAAGTACTTTTAAGATCTACACAGCGGCTCAAGCTAAAGGCAGTGGTACCCCTGAAAGGTGAATGTGATAGGACAGGATAGAAAGCATGTCATTGAGATGCGTCTGCCTTTGGCTGGACATGATGTTAATGCATGGAGGTGTTCCCTGCTAAGGTGAAAAACAGCAAAGAAGGAGCACAGCTGGGAGAATAGGTTCCATTTTGGACACAGTAAACTTCATGTGATTTCAGCTACCCAAAGAGAGGCACTGAGCCAGGCCTGCAGTTCAGAGAAAAAGTCTAAGATGGAGGTAGAGATGAGCCAGAAACTGGGACAGAACTTTCAGAGTGAAAGAGAGCACAGGACTGGGTCTTCATGAGCTCTGTGATAGAACCTAACTAAGGATTGTGAGGGGGAGAAAAAAGCAAAACCAGATAAGAACTCAAGACAGGTTTGTTTCAGAGCAAACCTGAAAGGCACCACCCTGGCACTTAGACCAGACTGGCTAAGGTCCTCTCATACAGGCTATAAGGTCATTGTTTAATAGGGTCCTCAACATAAAGGAACCATGAAAGGAAAAGGTCAAAATGAGGCAGTGTGGGGAAAAGTTGAGTGAACCAGAGTGGTGGCTGTGTGCTAGAGGTAAGATTTGAGAAGGCTAGGTGTGGTGGTCCTCAGGAGCAGGGCTGGAGAGTGGGACAGGAAGTATGGGGTCTAGCAGTGGTTACTGGGCTTTGTCAATCCATGATCATGCATCTTAGGAGGTGCAAAAGCATAGGGGGATGGAAGAGGCTGAAAGTGGCTGAAATGCTGTTGGAGCCCAGAGGACACAGAAATAATTCTTGACACAGCAATTGGAAAAGGTGTCATGAAAGAGTATGCATTTGAGTTTAAATTGGAAGGATGGGCAGGCTTTTCATTGGCAGATGAAGTTGCTTTCTTAGAGAGAATAGTTGGCTGAGAAGTTTTTGTTGTTAAAGAGTTCTTTGTGGGCTGCCATAGGAATACACCACAGCCTTGGTGTCTTACATGGGGGAATAGCACTTTCTCACAGCCCAGAGGCTAAACATGGCTGATCGAGGGCTGCTGGGGTTGGCTTTCGGTTTAGGTTCTCTTCCTGGTTTGTTCTCCTTCACCTTCTCTCTTGCCCTGCTTGGTAGCCTGAAGAGAGGGGCAACAGCAAAGTGTCTCTTCTGAAGAAGACACTACTTGTATTGGATTAGGGTCTCGCCTCCACCTTGTGACCTCACTGATCTTTGGTTAGTCCCTAACAGCCCTATGTCCTCATACAGCCCCTGCAGATTTAAGGCTTCAACACAGGAATCAGGGAGAACACCCATCAGTGCATAGCGGGGTGCTGTGGCGAAGCTTAAAATGTAGCATGGTCTTGGATGTGGACCCGGCCCAAATAGCAGCTTCCCTTCCCGCTTGCCTGCTGAGCCCTCCCACCCCTCACTCCTCATCTAGCCACGACTCCCCACTGGATGACACCCTGCAGCCACAGCACTTCTCTGACCAGCCTGGGAAGCCCACACTTGAGCTCTCGGGACCTTTTCACATCCTCCTCCTGTCCCCAGCCTTGGCTCTTGCAGGACATTTTTTCCTTTCCTAGGGAATGTGAGCTCTCCCTCCACATCCCAGCCCCACATTTTCTGGGACTTCACCTGTTTCTTTTCTTCCCTCCCCCTTTTTTGGTGGATATATTAATATATCAGAATTTGCAATGTTAACCATTTCAAGTTTCAACTCAGACATTAACTGAATTCAGAATGTTATAACACTGTCATTCACCTATCTGCAAAATTTGTCAAAACTCAAATGGAAACTGTACCCTGTGTGCGAGTCTCCAAACTTTACCCCACAGCTGGCCACTGCTACCCTATTTCCTATCTCTTTGTACTTGCCCCTTCTAGATATTTAATAGAAGTCACACAGCATGTGTTCTTAGGTGTCATTCCCTTCACCTACTATAGCATTTTCAAGGTTCCTACATGTAGTAACCTGTATTGATACCTTATTCTTTTTTGTGGCTGACTCATATTCCATGTTATTTTTGTTTATCCGTCATCTGTTGATGGTGACTTGGATTGTTTCCCCATTCTGACTATTGCGAGTGGTTCTGCTGGGGACCTCTGTAAACAGGTATCTGTTTGAGTTCTTTTGTTCAAGGGAGCAGAGTGGAACCAAAACCAAAGACTTGAAGTCACACGGTGACTGCGGATAACTTGCTGCAGAGCTTTCACACTGTTTCCAAAGCAGCAGCAGCATTTGACACACTCACTAGCAGAGTATTAGGGTTCCAGGTTCCCCACACTCACCTCAACATTTGTTACTCCTTGTTTGCTTTTTATACAGGCAGTCTTTTTTTTGTTTGTTTTTTGTCAGAACCGGGGATTGAACTCAGGCCCTTGTGCTTGCCAGGCAAGTGCTTATTCTACTGAGCTATCTCCCCAGCCCTACAGGCAGTCTTAAGAAGTGTGAAAGAAAAGAGAGAAAGAGGCCGAGGTAGGAAGGCGGAGAGACAGAGAAGGAGGGAGGAGGAAGGGGGAGGGGGATGGAGGGAGAGAGGTAATGTTCTTGTGTTAATTTTGTACCCTTCATTTTGCTTATTTAATTTATTAGAACTAACATTGCCTTTGAAGATATAAGATCATTCAATTTGAAAATAATGGTTTTATTGCTTTCTTTCCAATTTGTATACCTCATTTTTGGTCTAATTTATTTTGCTAGGACTTCCAGTACTATATTGAATAAAGTGGGAAAAATGGGCTTCATTTTTTTTTTTGTCATTGATCTTGGGGGATGTATATCTATCTATA